ACTAATCGTTTCAATAGTCGGTGACTAGTCGACTATTAAAATAGTTAGTTGCAGCCCTATTGACAATACAAAATGATGTGATTTTACACATGTGCAGCTAGCATCTCTGAGCTCTGTGGGGCTCCTGTGATATTCTAAGAGTATGATAGACCAGGACCCCTGTCTAATGCACTTACTCGTTTAACTTGTAGATCTTCTCGGAGAAGAAAACTTCATCGAGCAGTTTGTGGATGTTGCGTCTCTCTGCTGCTAACAGCACTCCATCATTTGCAAGGATTCCCAGACATGTTCCGGCGTGGCCGATCGCTTCCATTGCATATTCCACCTGGTACAGGCGACCTGTGAGGTATAAGCAAAACGTTGAGATATTTGCTATCTGTAAATAATTAAAGCAAAAAAACAACAACAAAAGCTAGTTAGTGTTCAGTGTTAGTGTAGAGTTTTTCTTTAACATTCACTGATGAGGACCAGTAGTTCTTTCAGTGGTTAAAGTGAAGGTTAGCAGTTTGACCATTTATCTTTATTTTATAGACAGTTGTAATGTTGCATTAGGTGAAGACTGCATGTGGCAATAGAAATACGGATTTGTTATATTAAATGTGACTGTGCTAGTTAAAATAAATACAAACACTCTGTTTATTTATATCTCTGATTGTTACATGTTAAGTAAAAAAACAAAAACACTTACCTTCAGGGGAAAATATAGTTGTCCGGGAGTCATACCTGCGAGACTAAACAAAGACAACAAACAAGTGACAAGTCATATAACTTTCACACATGAAAACCTAGCTCTTATTTATCTGGTATAAAGGTAAGGTTGCAACAAACCATTTTCCTACGTCACGGGGTATATTCTGAAACACAGAGAATATAAAACATCAGCATCTGAATCCAAATAAAGCCAAACAGCTAATACCAAGATCCAAACAACAAGATGAAACACGCTTAATTACCGTACTAAAATAACCAATATTAGATATAAACATGCCATTATATAATATTTAAACAAGAGCTAACTACAAAGTAGGTCCTAGAGATCCATTTTGTAAACAGTTTTGCTGATAAAGTGACCCCTTTCTGATATTCCCATAGCAGCTAGCTGTCGTAGCTAGCAGCTGCACCAGAATGAATCTGCAATATCGCAGCGTGCTAGCTGGCTAGCATGCTATGCTAGCTACAAACTCCTGGAGAGCAAAGTTTCCCGTTTGGAACGTGACAAATTTGAGCTACTTTGTAAAACTACGTTGAGGTACATATACGCTTCTACAAAAGGAAAGTATTGACTTCTTATTACCTCAAAAGCAAGGATCTCAGTTGTCGTACTTTTGCTCCGACTGAGAGGTTCGCTTTCAGTTTGATGTTTCCTCGCACACCGGCGTCCTCCTCCGGTGGAAGCCGCTCACTAGCGCCCCCTGTCGGCGGGAGGAGAGACACCGTATTCAAAATGGCGGTTTTGGCAGTTTTTTTTCTCCTTTATTTATTTTCCAACATTTTACAATACAGCAAGGTACCAATCAACATTTACAAGTAACATTTTATAAGAAAGGGCGATGTATAATACACATATAAATTAATATCCAAGATAAAATACAATGACAGAACAAATTAAATAAAAAGGTTTCGGCAGTTGGTTTCAGGTCCCTTCCAGAGTCCATGATCCTAATGCATTAACAAACTTTTTCTTTTCAAATGTAATGTTTTCTTATAATCTGCACCGATATTAACAACGTTAAACACATATGTAAATCCATTATATCCATATCTACCACAAAAAGAGGGCCCTAAAAAGTTTAGTCCTGAAATTGCAACCTCTTTATGTTGGAAAATCCAGATTATCTGTTTTTTTCTGGCAAAATAGATATTTTACATATTATAAACATGATTATAGGTAAGACTGTACTTTTTAAAGTATATGAGTCGAGATAAAGTACAGTATTTTCTGTGTTAAAACATGTTTTGGGGGTAGTCACTATGATATTTGGCTCGGATGTCAGTAAAAGTACGTAATCGAAACGGCTTTGGGGTCAAATAAGATCAATTGTATTTTACCTCCAGAAAATATGTGGCAAGTACCTATTTATGTTCGGGTACACGTGGAAAGGAGTATTCCTCCAAGCCTGGTGGAAAATGGGGGAGAGTCAAGTGAAATAATATACATGTAAAAACGGGAAGAATATGAAGTGTCGAACGTGTATTGTGGAAAATATGAAACAGTAGAACATGTTATATTAGAATGTAATAAATATGAAAGAGAGAGAAGATATATGAAGAAAGAGTTTAAACGTATTAAAGAAAAGATTGATTTATTAGATATTTTGAGGAAGCATTTGGGGAGTAAACATATACAA